ATTATACTTCGAAGACAAGCAGTAAACGACAGGTGCACGATGTTGTAGAGCGCCACTCTTATGTGCCTGATGCATGCGTTGTGTAGCACACAAGTGCGCAGTGTAGACGACCGCGCGCTTGGTTGTATTTTATTGCGGACATAACCTAATTAACTGTAAGAGCGACATATAGGTTTTGCAGTTGATTAGTCCATGAATAAAGCTGTGATAGAAATGTTTCGCGTTTTTTTAAATGATTTTCTTGAGAATGAATCACAATCTATGCAGCCTTTGCAGTTCACATGGAAGTATCATAAATTTTAGAATTTTATTCGGAAATTTTATTAGAATGTCCAAGAGCTTCAGACTATTTGGATTTCATGTTTTTTTTTTCAACATCGATAAACAGGGATTTAAATCAGTGATATGTTGACCGTCAGAGCCCACAATCTTTCTGCATCGATTGGGAAGTTGGTGGGTCTCTCTCATCCAAAAATAGGGGAACTGGGGTCTTTCGAATTCATAAAAAGCCTTCCAGAAGAATCTAAAATCTATGTGACTATCCTAGTATCATTGAATGGGAAATACTAGCACTGGGGTACTCTTTATAACCCGTTTACTAATACTTGATACTTTACAGTCTAACGAAGGATCAGGAGAGTCGGCCAACTTTTGCGGACCTGACGAATACAGCTTTCTATCAGCACTACAATTCGATGGATAATTTAAGTGAATTGGTTGGCGCATACGTAGCTGAAATATTGAGTAAAATCGAGTCACAGTAGTGATGACAGCTGCAGAAAGCTTTAGGATATAGAAGAATTTGTGTACGTACGTGATTTACTAATAGCTCTTCAACTCGTCTAAGAGAGCATTTCCACTGTGATGATTTCTGACCAAAAATCGCACTCATATCGCTCACATTCACCATTTGATCGTTCTCGTTGATTATTGTATTTTTGATGCTGTAAAGTCACTAATCGACTGGTCTTTTATTATTGTGTACTGTTTATGGTATAACAATTGTCTACTGTATAATTCCAATGCCATTGTCATTTGTAATTATGTTTTAATGTTATTGAGTATCTATTGAGGATTCACTATGATTGGGTATGTGTTCACGAATATTTTGTTTCTTTCAAAATACCGTGCCCTGCAATGTACAGTAACTCTCAATCCATCTTCTGCCACGGATCTTGAGATAGAACTGCTCTCGGATTCTTTAATGCATGTTTCGTAGCTCCTGGGACCGAAACTACTATGAATAAGGTTACGAAAGCGCATCTGGTTCAGGTTTTAGTGGATGCTCTCTCGAATGTCTTTGAAAATTCCGAAATTTTGTTTCGTACGAGTTAATCTTTAATTGTTATGTTCATTGTTGTGCACCTGAGTAATAAGTTTTTCGAACATGCAAAGCCTGCTCGACTTCATGAATAATATTACCTTTACCTTGTAAGTGAATAAGTTTGCCAAGTAGGTAGGAAATGAACCTTGTTGTTCTTGATCTCAGCATTTGGTTATGAGGTTGGTGCGACAAGCGAGGTCACCATGCGACGTCGCACACCTTTGGTCATGCCGCATGCGCAGCAGTTGACTGGAGGGAAGAGTTGAGATCAGGGTCAGGCGTGCCGTCGACACGTCACAGGGGATTGGCCCGCTGGGAGGAAGAGATCGGGCCGGATTGATGCAGTAGGATCATCACCGTCGGAGGACAAACATCAAGGATCGAGTCGATGCCAGGCCAGAGGATTTCCAATAACAATGATATTCCACCCACACAAAATCTTTCGTGATTCAGAGGTGTCCGCTTAGCAATTCTTAGTTACTTCAGTGTTTTATCACCACACAAGTTAAAGAATCCGAAATTCGCACGTTTTCCAAGGGATATTTTATCTTTCAAGTGAGTCCTCGAATCTGAAGGGATGTGAAGCACACGGCGCATCCCAGAGTGGGCCCAGTTGGTTGCGCGCGCTTCAACTACGGCTCTCTGGAGAAAGAATCTCAATTCAGGAAAAATCAAGAGGATTCTGAAAGGGTTCTTGTGAAATTACAGAGTGGAGTACACCATTCAAGAAGAAACACTTTTGTAATTTTGGCAATGCTTGGAAAGAGCTCTTCACAAAACTCCAAATCTGCTTTCAGATTGAAAATTCGTCATATTTGAAGAAAGTTATAATCATTTGAATATTTGTTCAAATTTCAATAGTAAATAAGCTGCTCCACGGTCAACGCCAAAGTCCAGTCAACACACAGCTGGCGAAGGCGGTTACAAGGCTTCTTTCAACTGAAAGGGGGACGTGTAAATTGAGAACCATAATCTGTGTAGTACTAGAAATTTGGTAAGTCTTGTGGAAATAAATAAAGAAGAGATGTTGTCATAGTATGCCATTTTTAGTGACTAGTTTGTCGTTTTTTGCTCCGTTTCTCGTTTGCTCGTTTGGTAGGACTCATCAATAATGATCATTCTTTGACTTTTTCACTTTTGTACTTCTTAAACGAATTTTTTTGGTGGACGGTGGGGTAGCAGGGCTTTTTTATGAGCAGTTTTGGGGGAGAATTAAACAACCTTTTCAGAGGGTCGTTTCATGGACTTCGGCTTCTGGTAGAGGGAGGGGGGGTCGTATTTCCGAATTTTCCTCGACAGTTGGCTTGACCCTGGTTGAGACGCAGATATGGCTAAATAGTGCAAGGGTGACACCGGCAGTTCATAATAAGGTGCTCGCTCCAATCTCTTGCCGCGCTCTCACAGCTTTTCAAAATATGTATATCAGACAACATAAAGAATAAAGGAAAAAGTAGTTGGGCTTCGTCTTTCTGAGATGCATCACACGTTCTGTTAGATCGCGGCATACTTCTGAGCCATCACGGTTGTTTTGAATAGATTCTCTGATATCCTTGTTCAATATTAGGTTGGTCCATAAGTCTTACAACAAACTACATTTAAGGCTAGAGAATTTTTGTAAGAACTCTGAAAATTCCGCAACATGTTTGCAACTCTGAAAATTCCGCAACATGTTTGCTAACGTAGCATCCACCTTTGCAATTTCAGCCAACCGTCCAGCTCGTTGTCTCGCTACTTGTTATGGATATTACACCGATTTCGCGAAAGCTCTTCGTGCCCTTAATTTTTACGAGTACTGCTTGGAATGTTCCGCAAGTCATGCTACACCAAGGATTAGCCAGAAGATGGGCGAGGGCACGCTCTCTCAATTCACGGTGCAGGCGCTTCACTCTGCTCAGCGTTGACTTTTTTTTGAAGATAACCACACTCCAACCACCCTGTGACTGGCAATCACGATGCTCTATCTGACGCTGTTGAAAAGGGATCTGGATAGAGTATCGATCATTTGCTAGAGCGATTCCGATGCGACAAGGAGACAGCACTGTGGCATCTCCAAAGACTTGTGAAGATCCGAAAATATAGTTTGGTCCCCACGTGCCTTGAGCCCGATTCAGCTCCAAACACGATCTGACATCGTTATGTTCAAGTCGACTTACTATGGATTCTACGATTGACCATCCATCACATTTGCCGAAGATGAGGAGTGGGTACAGTGTGCTAACAAATGAACAAGCGGCGATAGTCCAGCTCAAACGCTTTGGGAGTTCTTACTGCTAAAGTTCAACCTCGTCCAAGTAGGGCCTTCTCGGATTTTTGGTGGAACACGAGAGGAGTTGAGCTCTGGAAACCCCTACGTGTAGATGTCGCAGTCAACGCGGAAGTCAACCGTCCACAGCTCGATTGCAACGCTTTTAATACGAAAGAAAAACAAGGCAAAGTTTGCTTTTTATGACACCGTTGAACCACCTCTTGCTAAGAAAATTCAGGAAAATTTTGGACTCTGTACGGACGAGTTCT